TGTACTTCATCTGTACTTCATTTGTACTTCATCTGTACTTCATTTGTACTTCATCAGTATTTCATCTGTACTTCATTTGTACTTCATCTGTACTTCATCTGTACTTTATCTGTATTTCATCTGTACTTCATTTGTACTTCATCTGTACTTTATCTGTACTTCATCTGTACTTCATCTGTACTTTATCTGTACTTCATCTGTACTTTATTTGTACTTCATCTGTACTTTATCTGCACTTCATCTGTATTTCATCTGTACTTCACTTGTACTTCATCTGTACTTTATCTGCACTTCATCTGTACTTCATCTGTACTTCACCTGTTCTTTATCTGTGCTTCATCTGTACTTCATCTGTACTTTATCTCTACTTCATATGTACTTTATCTCTACTTCATCTGTACTTCATCTGTACTTTATCTGTACTTCATTTGTACTTCATCTGTACCTCATTTATACTTCATCTGTACTTCATCTGTACTTTATCTGTACTTCATCTGTACTTCATCTGTACTTCATCTGTACTTTATCTCTACTTCATCTGAACTTCATCTTTACTTCATTTATGTTTTTCATCCGTTCTTCATATGTATTTCATCTGTACTTTGTTTGTACTTTATCTGTACCTCAGCTATTTTTTATTTTGAATTGATTTGTTTTTCATCTTTACTTCATTTGTACGTCATCTATATTTCATGTCTTCTTCATCTGTTCTTCATATACAATTCATTATAGGTAGATCAGCTTAGGAATACAATCGATGGCGACCATCATTTAAAATCTATCAAGTGTTTACTGAACACAGATCACTTAAAAAATGGTTGAGGCACCGGGCACCTCTGGGGATGTTGAATAACAGACTTATTTGTTCTGATTACAAAAAAATATCCTCTCATTGTGACGATTTTACTTAAAACTGCACGTTGACAAACTTCGGTCCAAAGTCAGTCAGTGGTGAAAGTTATATAGCGTACGGACAAGGATAAATCACTTTTAAGGAAACTGAAATACATGTATATCTTTATAGTCTCCGAAAAACTGTATTAAAACACGTTAAGAGATATTCAAGCTACGTTTAAAATAATCTGTCGTTTTGCAAGGGTAAACTGGATATTCAAAAAAGGTCCCTATATAAATATAACTCGCGTACAGTTCCTGAGTTAAAGACAGTCGGCACACATATACGCCATTGTAACCTTAAAACCACTGGTAAAACGGTGTGCAAATATCCTTGCCCAACGTCAGCTCAATGCTGATCAGTGAAAATTGATAAATTTCAGAAAGACTCGGCTCGAAGTAAAGCTATGGAATAAGATACCACGGATCTTCCTGAGAAAGCTCTCAAAAGAGTTCTCCGCAAATTGCTATTTGATATCTTAGAAAAGGAGGGTGACTATATTCAAATC